AGTAGGAACACAGGCAGGACCGTGGGAGCAGCTGAGTGAAGACAGAGCTCCTTAGGACACTTGCCACACTCCATGGACTGGGTCAGGTCTAGCACAGTCATTCCTCTATCAAAGACTGGCTGCGTGTCACAGGCTGGTACTGTATATGCTCTTGCCATCACAACTGCTGCCGCGTTCAGAATACAGAATTTTAGGTCTCCTGCACACATGGTCAGTTTTATAGGAAGTTCTGAGTAAGTGCAAAAAGCGAAGGAAACTGGGGCTCCTCCTTGCTAGGCAGCTCAGTGTGCCACAGCAGTCAGCACCCCGCTCTGCTCATCTAAGGCTGCAGCTTTTCTCTTTCATCTCGCAGTCTTGTTGAAGGGATAGAAAGCAGCTGTGTGGAAATTTCAACACTGTAGAAAGCCACAAAAGGAGTGGAAGGATGAAGGATGGAAGAGGACAGCATAAGGGCCAGAGAGCAGGGCACCTTTGTCCAGAGTACAGCAGAGAGGTAAAGTTTCTCTCAACGTTGCTTTCTCAGCAACTGTCAAAGGACTAGCAAACCAGTGGTGCTGCTGATGGCTGTAACTAGGTCCTCTGGGAAAACACCCCGAGGTATGGCAATTTCCTAAGCTTATCACAAGAGTGTTAGTGAAGTACCTGGACGGTGCCTTCCTCCTCACTTGGCTGGTTATTTTCACTTGGCTGTTTTTTTTTTTTTTCCTTTGCTTTAGAGCAATCTGCTTTGAGAGACAGTGGTCCAGCCACTGAAAACCAGATCCACTTATCGGTGTGATTACTCTGTCAGCAAGTTCATGCTCAGCTGTTGCTTGGCTTCCAACCTCAAATGCACAGTTTAGTCAGAGGGGCCTTGAGGGCTGTGTGAAGCTGTAACATGCAGTGAAAACCTGACAGGATGACATGGCTGCCAGTCACAGCAGCACAGGGAAAAAAACCAAATTCTGGGTAATGTGTGATCTTGATACATCACCATGTGGGAGCCCAGGGCAGAGCTTGTACTCGGCAACCTGCAGAGGGGGAAATGGGCTGTGTGTGTACGTGCTTGTGCACGTGCCTGTGCATCGCATGGGCACAGTTCCCCTGAGGATTAGTCAAAACCACCTATTCTTTGTGAAAGCAACTGTATGCAAAATCACACCCTTTGGAAGCACCTCTGTCAGAGCTGGAATACAAACTGCACAAATCATGCTCCCTAAGGAATTTTCTACAGAAAAGATGTGGCTATGAGAAAGCAACCTGTCCTTTCAGTCTCCGTTCACTATGGAATTTTGTCATGTAATTCCACAGTCAGAGATAAACATTAAGGAGTGGGGTTTTGGAAGTCACAACCTCCTCATTCAGTTCTCACCCTTTGTTCCTCTGGCCATGTCACTACTAGAATAGAACAGCTAAAATAACTTATTTGTTTTGATAAAGTTTGCAGCTCATGATGGATAAGCACTTGGACACCCTTGCAGCCTGTCTGAAAAATATAGGGTCCCAAAGCAAGATGCAAAGGCAAGTTATTTAAAACCCTGACCCCTCCTTCACCCCAAATTAACTTGTCCCTACCCTCAAGAACTTGACCCCACATCTTCAAGCTCCTGTTCCATATTAGTCTTACCCTCATCTTGTTGTTAGTTTTCATCAGGCAACGACAAACCTTGTGACTGATCAGAACAAACCAGCAGCTGTGCCAGTCATGTATTTTCCAAGGAGCTGTTCTGCCAATGACCAGGCCCAACAAGAATGATACAGCCAGCAGAAAGAGAAACCAATACACAGACTGTATTGTAATCAGAAACATTGTGACATGAATGACCACCGGGGGTACAAACAAGTCAATCAGCTGGTACACAAACAACACCACCCCCAGCAATCCCACAAAAGATGTGACTCGGCCCACAACAGGTGGTATGAACAGTGACCTGAGGTTTCCCACAGTTGACATGGGAAACAGCCAAACAAGCAAGTTAAACACATAAGAGAAAGGTGCCCACATGGCGACTCTCACTCGATCGACCCGTGTTCACAGAGGCCTAAACAGACCAGGGCCCAGCTCCAGGAGAGTCAGGAGGTCTGCCCTGAACCAGGCAGCTCTGGGGAGTGCACTCCACAGACAGACACTCCTGACTCCCTGCAAGTGGTCCCAGCTTTTATCCCCAAGCAGAGCCCTGACCTTTGTTAACTCAGTGGGGGACCCCTGGGGCTCATTTCCCTTCTGGCTCTCCCTGCAGGGCCGGCCGCACCCTGGGGGGAAGCTCTAAGGCAAACTCACCACCTCTGTATGAAGGGCTGTGGGAATCACCCGTATGTCAACTTTAATGCAGGGCTCGGGGTTCAGACCCCAGCATTTCAGGAGCTAACACTGTTCAGAAAGAGAAAAAGAAACAGCAAGGCTGTGGCATTCTCTGCAAAGGAAACGTAGCGTATCAGAACTAGGTTTTCCTGAACTGGGAATACACCTGCTTTTCTCAGGAACCAATTTCACTTATGGTGAGTCGGGTTGCCAATATCTGATGAGCAGCCAGCTAAGAAAGACGTGGAGGTGGAGTGATTGTAATGAATGGCATTGTAACTAGGCTAAAACTTGGCACAAGCCTCCACTTGCACTGCAGTCTTACAAAACAGACTGAAATCCACTGAAAATACACTATGATCCGTAATTCTCTCTCCTGGTAGGAGCCCTCCAGTAGCTGAAAAGGACATGCTTTGGAGGGTCTTGGCCTTCAGGAACAAAGTTCCTCTCTCAGGAGGGAAGCTGCCTCTGCAAGCCCGGGCTGGCCCCCGGGAGGTGTGGCTTGGGGCAGTCCACCTTGCTGGCAGTCCTGGGAGCCACCCAAGGAAGAACTCCCACACTCTGTGCAGATCACCATCTTAGGCCAGAATACTGCCATTTGAAACCTACCCATATTTTACAGCTTGGCAATAACTCCAGATGGAAAAAGCAGAGGCACTGGAGGACAGAAGATGAATTTGGTTTCCACTGCAGCTGTGCACCGGGCCCACTGCAGGACAGGGTGAGCTCGTTGCTGTTTATCACCAGTTCCAAGTTATGCAAAGGAAGAACAGGACTCCCCCTTCTCCAAGAGCTAGTTTGATTTCACCAGAGAAATACTGAGAGAAGGGGAACAATACACACAGAAAGCCACCCAAGAGAAATAAGCAGACAGGAAGGCATAGCTAGGTGGTGGGGGAAAAAAAAAAAAAAAAAAAAAAAAAAAGCCAGGGAAAGGCAGAATGAAGCTGGGACTCAGCAGAGAAGTGCTGCAGCAAGCCACTTTCCAGTCCTAGCCTGAGCAGATCTCTCCTGGCTTCTCCAGCCAAGTGCAAGCCTTCCAGGAAGACCTCATGAAGAGCACAAAGGAGAGTACAGGAGCAGAATGAGAAGAAAGCACCACTGGTGTCCCTGCACCTCCCACAACAGCTCTGTGCTGCTACTGTAAACGGTGAGTAATACATTCAGGGTAGCTGCAATAACTAGCTGAGGGATTTTGCTTAAACTTGATTTGGCTTGGATTTAGGGAAGTGAGTTGTCTTACTCATGAGGCAGACCATGGCCTCTATGCATCTTCTTGTTCCACAATTTCAGCGCAGGCTCTGTCGATGGGTCCCAGAAAGCCTCTTCACCCGTCTGCCTCCCAGCCCTCACACTTCACTTGTGCTGATGTTAACTACAGCCAGCCACTATCCTCATGCAAAGAAAGTACTTCTGATAGAATTAAACCTCACCCAAGTGAAAATAAAATTCAACCTGGTATTTTCAGTAAAAAATAACTAACATGTTCATCAGCACCTTAGCTTACAAGCAGGATTACCTTACACCAACCACCCCTGCAGTGACAGTGCACTTCAAACCAGAGCCTATACAAATAGTAATGATCACACCTAAATACAGATACTGCAAATCACCTTCCAGGGATTACACACCCTTTTTTAACACAGCAAAATCGATGCACAGATACATCTACTACTTGGCCAACCTGAACTTTGAAGAGAGATCTGCAGTACAAAAATCTCTCTTACAAAACACATTAAACCAGATTCTGTGCTTAGCATTACAATTGCCTTCCTTAAGAATGGCAATGCAAATAGGGTTTTCTAAATAAAGAGAACACAAATATATATTTGAATACACATAAAATTAGTTAATGGTTCTTAACTATTTTGTGCCACTGCCAGCATACTCAGGTGGAATTTACCATATCAAAATACACAATCAGGCACTAGAAAAGTTGAGAGCTGCAAGTAAAACTTTTGGAACAATTATCCAACAGGAAGTATATGCTGTCCTAAAACTGCAGATTCTGACTGGACAAGAAGCTGATAAAAATCTCCATCAGTGTGGGGAGTCCGACCATAAACTGGATAAGCTTTCTGGGAAAACACTGCTTACAACTGTCTGATTTTATTTATGGCTGTAGAAGTATGAAGGAACTCTGCTTACTTCTACAGAATAAGAAACTAATCATAAATAATATCACTGCTTATGTCCAAATGACAATAATCTTTATTTCAGGTCTTGACTGAACAAGTATAGAAAGATATACCACATCTGGGGCTAGGCACACAGGACCTCCCCTTCCCCCTTCCCCCAATAAATAAATTACGGAAGCTGTGTGATGCTGCCAGTGCAAGTCAGTCACTTCCCCTTTGGGCTGCACCTCTGTCCAGTTTCCAGGTGTGTCCATGCCCCCATCACCTCTGTGTGTCTCCCAAGCAAATGACGGAGCCATGGCAATAATCACAGGACCTGTACTAAGAACTTGTACTTCATGCAGCTGCTGCCCACTTTTAGAGAACCATCACAGCCGGAGGCAGGTTTGGTGGTACCCCCTCCTGTCCCGAGGGGACACACCAGTTGCCAGCCCTGCTTCGTGCACGGGTGTTACCCCACTGAATCCATGCCTCAGCGGCAGCAGCCCTCACTCCAGGCAACTTGGAAGAACAAGCAACATTTCGATTTGCCATACAGCTCATTTCCAAAGACTGGTTTTGTGCAGTCTTGGCAAGTGTGGCTAGGCTACCTTCATGTAGTAGTTGTCCTCTGGGGCAAGGGCTTGTTCAAGTTTTATTTTTTTTTCATTCTTCTTGTTGTTTTCCCTCAACAGTTCTACTGGTCTTTTTTTAACTGCAGGTGCCAGTATGGAACCCTCACTGTGAATGGTGTGAGAATCAGGAGGACAGGAGTTATCCACAAAGAGAGGAGGTGACAACCTGTCTGAGACCAGGAGCCCTGCAATTTTTCTTTCCAAGTTTAGCCCAATACTGTCCAGTGATTCTTCTGGCAAGCTGGCTGCTGAGCCACACCACCTGCCTGCCACATGCTTTATCACCGCTTTATTTTCCCCTGCATTTCCAAGTTTCCTCAAGGGGTTATGCGTGTGGCAGTGAAAGTCAGTATATAGTCTGTTACTGCTGCTCTCCTGCATTCCTTTACCAGTGGAGTTAAACCTCCTAGATTTTGTTCCCTTTATAGTCCTTTCTCTGCTGTTAAAATCTTGACAGTTCAGCTCTAACAAATGCAACAGCTGTTCATCTCTGTTGGTATTTTCATCTTTACTATCAGCAGACAGCTCACTAGAGTTGATGATCCAAAGGCTGCCATCAACGGTCTGTGTGACATTCTCACAAGATGCTGGGACAACGCTACAGTCAAACCCCTGCACAATCAAACACACGTGGTCATCCGTCCTCTGGAGTGGGTCACGGATGGCGGTGTCTGGAGGTGTTTCTCTCAGGTTGTTGTACAGATGATGGACGAAGGGTTCATGCAGCGACCCCGGGATAACCTCACTGTCATTGCTGCCATATGCACCATTACATTTAACTGCATTACCAAAAGGTTGATAACTAGATGGTTGAGGTTCAGTGAGGCAAGATATTATATTGTCTTTCTTTTGAACATTTTTATATGTTACTTGCTTATGCATTTCTTCCTCTGGTAGGAAAGCTGAAGCCCTGTCATTTGCATGTGCGGAGAAAGACTGAAAATCAGTATGTTCTGAAGAGATGTCCTGAAAATCAGGCTCAGTGTGGGGACATCTGTCGTTAGTATAACGTGTCTGATTGCTAGGGATTCCATAAAGCTGACCTCTGCAGTTAAGTTCTGGTGTCTCTGAAAACTGTGTCAACGGCTGCGAGGAGCACACATTTTCAAAACCCAGAGTCAGGCTACTGTCAGCCATAGACTGAGACAGAAGGGTATCAACGCTCTTATATGCAGAGCCACTTGGTTCCCTGAATGGAGACACAAGAATATCAAAGCTCTTGTATGCAGAACTACAGGGCTCCACGGCTGACAACATAAGGGTGTCACAGCTCCTGCAGGCAGAACTGCAGGGCTCCACGGACGGAGAGGTAAGGGTGTCAAAGCTCTTATATTCTGAGCTACACAGCTCCATGGATGGAGACACAAGGGTATCAAAACTCTTGTGTGCAGGGTTGATTACTCTATCTTTTTTGGTACTAGAGGATGGTTTATTTGGAGATTCCTGGAATAGGACACACGAGTCATGCTGACTTTCAGAACTGCATGCATAAAGGCTTTGATCAACCACATGCTGAACATCTCTTGCATCCAGAGAAGCAGAATTTACACTGGAGCTCCGATAGCCAGATTCAAAGGATTCTTCTGATTGTTCTGACTTCTTGCTGGGTGTGCTACAGTTGTCATCTGCAGAGGCTTTGGTGAAAAGGGAGACTGTATGAAAAATATCACGTGGCTGCTGATTCTGGGCTGTGCTTTCCTTTGGAATTTGCTGTGATGGATTTTTTGATTCAAGTTTCTCAAAGTTTTTATTCTCACTGGTGTCCAGGTCTTTCTCTTGCTTGTTGTTTCCATCTGCCAGGAGATCAATAAACATCCTGGCCAGTGCATCATTGTGTTCTGCGTGCTCTCTGAAAGGACTGACACTGCTTGCACAAGTCTCAAACGTGGTGAGCTGGTCACTAGTCTCTTCGTGGCTATCAGCCTCAATGTCTGTTAAACAATCACAGATTTCTATAGACTTTTCAACCAGAACTGTCTCAGGGATTAAAACTGCACTGCTGCCTTTTCGAAACCACTCTCCAGACTTGCTGTGGCAATCGCAAGATTTCTCAACATTTCTGATGTTATCTTTTCCCTTGAAGTTTTGGCTTGACAAACTTTGATCCAGACACTTCTTGCAGTTTCTGTTTTTGGAAGGCAAAAGGAAAGGACAGTTTATGTTCATGTAACACGTAATAGGAAACTATTTTAAGTTGTAAAGCAGAGGCTGGGGTTTGGTTTGCCTTTTTTTTTCTCTCCTTTATCTTACTTACATTTTGTTTTCCATATGACTCTGCTTTAAGTCATGGAAAGGGAACTTAATTTCATCAATGTAGCACAAAACTGAAAACTAAGAAAGATACAAATGAGATTTAGGACACAGGTATATTGTATTTAGCATCTCCTGCACTGGCCAGACAATAGCACTTATTGTATGTTCTACTTCTTGTGATTAGGAAAAGGTATTTTCTGCAAAGCCTTTAAATTACCTTGACATTTTTTACGACCAAGTGGCTCTTTGCTGGATTTGGGATTTGATCCCACCATTCTTTCTTCACTCTGAAAGAGATTAATTAATATTGTTTGCTCCGACTGCATTTTGGCTTCATCAGCGTACACCTCCCTCTTCCGTTCTTCTCTCCCTCTTCGCCATCTGCATTGCAGCAACAGGAAGCTGCCTGTTCTGTGCATCTCCAAGTGCTGCTTTTAATTAAACTAGTGCAAAGATGTTTGTTTGTTTGGTGCGTGACTGCTCTGCACAACCACAGTCACACGTTCTTCTAATCATGTTTGAAATGATGTGCAAATCAGATAGGAACCCACTTTTACATTACCACAAAAAAACCCTTAAAAGAAATACAGATATTTAACCATCATTACTGAACTCCAGCAAAGACTGGGAACCAAAACTGACAAACACTCAAAGTGCACCATTTTGGATGCTGTATCAAGCCAATTCTAGCAAGAATAATAGAGAATATTCAGTTACCTATTCAGAAAATTACAGAGCGCAACTGATTCGTGCTTATAAAATATTTGCTCATGTATAGGGGAAACCTTATTACTGCTTTCTACAGACACTTGAAAGGAGGCTGTAGCAAGGTGGGGGTCAGTCTGCTCCCCCAAGTAACGAGCCATGGTACAAGAAGAAATGGTCTCAATGTGCACCAGGGGAGGTTTCGGTTGGATATGAAGAAAAAATTCTCCTGCAAAGGCTCGTCAAGGCCTGTGCCAGGCTGCCCAGGGCAGTGGTGGAGCCCCCAGCCATGAAGGGGTTTCAAAGCAGAGGAGATGTGGTGCTGAGGGACATGGCTCAGTGGTGACCTGGCAGTTCTGGGTTAGTGGTTGGACTTAATGATCTTAAAGGTCTTTTCCAACCAAAATAATTCTATGATTCTACAGTTCTATAAAGGTGCTGAGGAAAACAAAAACATTATAGACTCTTGTACTACCATACATTCAGCTAATCAATGGCAATTCCAGTATCTGTGCAAACTGCTACTCTATAGAAGCTGTCAACAGTGTGATACATACTTGGTAAAACAGAAGTAACAAATCACAAACACTGCCATGATCAGTATGCAGGATACAGGAACAGCTGTCTGCAAAATGTCTTCAGCTGTTATTTGGTGATCTGTTAAATAAACATATACATTTACATGGGCACGTGCATATAAATACAAGTACTGGCAATACCACATTAATTGCTCTTCTTTTGCACCTTAAAACAATTGCTTCTTTAGAGAATGTAAAATAAAGCCTCCAGCAGATAAACAAAAGAATGCACACAGTTACCAACTGCTATGATGTGTGGCACATGGGAAAGATCAGTGCAGATACTGCAGCCAGTTACTGTGAGTGTAGGAGCTGGCAGAGCAAACATGCACTATGAGGCCATTTATCAGCTCTCAGGGACAAACCTGCCACACACTCCCTCAAATGGCATTATCATCTCTACTGTGGTGCTGCTATGCTTCATGTCCAGTCGCTCTTCAGAGACTTTTACAAACCCTCTGACAGTAAAAGTATTGCTTAATTTGCAGCCTAAATATCTCTTTTTCATTTAAACCCACTTGCTCTTATGTCAATGTTGTTCTTTAGTTTAACTATCTGTTCTCCTTCCCTGGTGTCTACCTCATGAAATATTTATAGAAAATAAACACATTCCTTTTCAGCCCTTTTTTCATATGGCTAAACAATTCAACTTCCCTTGGTCTTCTCTTCCTTAGTTTCCCCAGGAGCTGCCTTTCTATGTTTAGTCTCTTTGGAAGCCTTTATGGATGTTTATCCACAGCACATTCAAAAGGATGAAGATGATGATGATGATTCAGTAAGTCTGAGAAGAAGAGCAGTGGGGTACAGATTCTCTGGTTTACAAAACTAAACCATCCTTTTATCAAGCTGCTATTTGTTACAATACTTGCCATAGTGAAATTCAACTTCTTCACTCCATTCACTCCAGTAGGCCGGGTAGTGTGTATAGTTACACCTTACACTTGCAATGTAATCATAGCCTCTCCTCAAGGAGCTTGCAGTAATTTCAAAGCTTTTTGCCTGGTAGTTAATTGCTTTTACAGAAACCTGAATATAAAATAAAAGAAAGGAAGAAAGTTCATTTCGATTTCTTTATGAAGTGAAGAGTTGGTGACAGCAATTAAATAATGATAGTGTTATGTGTTTTAGTGACCTTTCATGAATGAAGGACTGTGTACCTAACTGCTGTGTGTGATACTGCATTTTGTTGTCAGGAGCAGGTGGTATTTGTGACATATTGCCATGCATGTTCTTCCTCTACCAGAAGCAGCCCAGCCCTGAAGTGCTGGATTGTTCAGGAGCGTGTCTGAAATGCCTCAAGTGTGCCACAGTCTCACAAACAGCCTCTGTTTTCCTGATGCCTAAGGTGTAAATGAAGTTCAGGGAACAGCAGCATTGTATTTTCAATCTCTGCCTTGTCTACTGTGAGCAGCAGACCATTTTGGGGTGACAGAACAGTTTCAATCTTTTACAGCCCAGCTGGAGCACCTTGGGGCAACGTGACCTGTAGCAAGTGTGTCATCATGGACATCGTGGTACTTGTCCTTGGTGGCACTTACACCATTGTTCATTAAATGGTTTCAAGACTTTTCTGAGGACTTTTTAAACGTGAAAGCTCCAGAGAGACAGAAAATTAAGAGATTGTCTGTCTCTTACCTCTGCTGGGTGGTGCTTCCTCCAGTATTTCACTTCATAGATGACTGGCTCTCCAGAGAGCATGGACGGAGGAGAGTAGCCCTCCTCCCAGCTCAGATTGAAGTTACCATTTTCAGCTTTCTCAATGGCAAGATTTTTGGGGGCCCGTGGTTTAACTGTATGTTAAAAAAATACAATTAAAGGAGAACATGGAAATGGGAAAGCACTGATGGAGAGAAGCAGAGAGACAAACATTCACCAGAGACCAGAATCTCATCTCAGTCCATGCATTTAGCCCTTTTCACTATGCTGTAGCACACAGATACCAGAGCAACAGCAAGCTATTCATTAACAAGCACTGAATCTTCAAGCTGGTTGAACAAACAGCAACTTCAACCTTCTGGTGCACTGGATGCAGCTTCCAGCCTGGAAAATATGGGAAAAAGCCTGTTCTGAAAAGAACCAGCTCACCAATGCAGGTGAATGCCTGCCTAAGGTATGTGAATGATATCTCTGAGTGCCTGAGGTAACGTGTTGTGAACAAGCACACTATTCTAAACAAACTAGGTGCCAATAGTGACACAAACTGTGTCTATGCTCTGTCTTGTGCGAGAGTAAACTTTTTTATCACTGGTTGTTATAATCCAACAGCAATTACTGTAGAAATCTCCGTTCAGAGCGATGATTCAACCAGCACGAAAAATCAGAGTATGGCACAGACAGGAATGGGAGAAATTTCAGTAGGGATAGCCTAGCACCTTTCTAGAAACTGGAAGCAGTGCATTCTTCTTCATCCTTAAATTCTACAGCCACAAGTAAAATGTACTAAAGGCACATCTAAACCCCCAACGTGATGCTGGCTGGCAGCTGAGAGGGTACAGCTAGAGGAAGAATTACTCTCTGCTTGCCCCATTTCTTACGTTCTTTCTTTAAGAAACTACTCCAGTATCAAGTTTCTAAGCCAAATGGATTTTGCATTTCAGCCAGCAGGGCACTTTTCAACTCAGGTAAGAAAAAACTGCTCCAGTGACATGAAGCTAGGTAGGATTGCAAGCCTGGAACCAAATATCCTGGTGACAAAGGAAGAAGTTTCTTACCAACCAGGGCTGGTTTAACACTGTAATTCCACATATCACTCCCATTGAACTGCAGAGCCAGAATATAGGTGAGGGCTGATACAAAATAATCCTGATGTATTGTGCAAGTGCACAAACTGTCTCTTCCATTCTCAGGGACACACACATGATTTCTGCCTGTTTCATGTTTCCTGCTGGAAAAACACGCAGAAAATTATGTGATTAGTTTAGAGTGTGGCACACTATTTCTTGAAAAGGTGAAATTAAGCTTCCCAGTCTGTAAAACTAGTCAAATCTGAGACCAACAAGCTCAGTTCCTAGAAATGCTTAGCCCAAACAAATCCCAACCAGAACCGAGCTCCCTCAAACTCCCACAAGATCTACCTTCCCCCAACAGCCCTTGGATATCCCTATCTGTATTGCACAATACAAACACAACAAATGCATATTTGTCTGGCACAAATTAAAAGCTTGACAGAAAGCTAAGGATGGATCCTCAGAGGAAAAATTAACACCTTCTGTCACACCTCAGCCTCTGAAGGAGTGGACTTAACAGCTTGCTAGTATAGGAACAAGTTTGCTACAGTGTACAAAGTGAGGTTGTTTGGATGTCAGCGTGGAGAAATCATATCGAGAGGAACAGGAGAGCCCAGATGTATCTTCCTTTGCAGGAGATGAAGACTGGCCCTGCTGCAGGGGTCAGCAGGGGAGCTGACCACAGAGTTAAGACTGTATGCAGACATAACAACCTGGGCTCCAGAGGAGAGTATCTTTCATGCAGGCTATGGACTGGTAACCCAGGTATGACTTCTCCTGAAGGAGGCAAAACTCTGCATGAAATGAATGCTGGGTATACTTGAGAGCCCTACCACTCCTACAAGTAGGACTTGATCACTCCTCTGTACTCAAGAGTGCAGAGAGGTCTGCAGAAAAGTAGACCACTGAACAGAGTGTGCTGTTAACTGCAGTAAGCTATTTTCCTTCTAGCAAGAAGAATAACCTGGATTACATTTTGTCCCAGACACTCATGGTAGAGGGAGGGAATCAAACCCGATAATGGCTATAGGATATATGAAGTTCCAACAATTATATTAACATTAAACACCTATTAAATACTTACAGTGGAAAAGCAATTTCATTCCTGTAGTAGAGCAGGAATTCTTTAGAGCAATTTGTTTGTGCAGGCACCTTCCAGTGACAAACCAGCTCTCTGTCGTAGTCAGTGAAGCATGCAAATTCCTCCATGTGTCCTGCAGCCATAACTAGGGAGAAGCAGCACACAACGACAATCAAGAGAATCAAAAGAATAAATTGGACTAAGCACAAACATTAACTTTCCCATCTAAATATAGCTACCAACCCCCTATAAATTAAGTGAAAGCATTGTTATTTTTTCTGTTCTGGGTAAATGGAAAGAGATGCATGCCACCAAATGTCTCCACCTTTCTGTAGACAACATCTACAGTCTTGGAGAATAAGGTAGTCTGTAGTAAGTAACACTGAAATAAGAAGGCACAACTCATCCAACAGTCTTCCAAGCACAGAAAATCTGATTCTGATAGCTCTAAAATACATCAACATTTAGTTACAGAACAGCATTATCCTATGTGTTAATGCAAAAGGTTCAAAAGCCAAGTGGAGATAATTAACAGAGTCAGACCAATATCATTGCAGGCATGTATTCATGCTTTATCTATGAAGGTTCAAAGCTTCCCAGGGAAGGTCTACTCTGCCTCCACAGAGCACTCCCCCACTGCCTGGAAAATCCTCCTGTTACAGGTTTTCTTCTAGTATACACCTTTTCGTAATTTCACTCATTATCTCCTGCTCTGTCTTCTGCTTTATGTTGTTGTGAAAGTGTTCTGAGACCTGGAGAGATGGAGTCACATAGTTCCATGCACTGGGAAGGGAAGCCAAAGTTTCTGCACTTCCAATGTTTGTATTTACAATCTCTTTCACTGGGAGTATTTAAGAAAAAAAATAGAAAACATTGGTCAAAATATCTTTGTTAGAACTGAAAAGAGAAATGAAATACACAGTCCTCAGTATCCCTTCCAGCCTCATTTTCCATTGTTTCAATGCACTCCCACAAGTGAAACAAGGAACAGAAGAGGAGGAGCTATGTGACAGTAAGGTTATGCTGTTATTAGAATTGTGTGACAAATATGGCACTGGAATGTGATCATTTCCAAATAAAGCAGTCAGAAATAGCCAATACTCTTATCATCCCAGACCACTATTTTCCTTTTTGATGTTCAACTTCTCTGTTATTAGTAAATATTAACAACATCTCCATTTTCTTGCACAAGTTAAAGAGATCTAATCTGTATTACTGATGTTTAGATCATTTAATATGAATGTTTTTAAAATATTTTATTGATATTTTTCTGACTAGGATTCTGCTAGAAGGTTCCTGTGGCAGTTATACAAGGGCAAATTTTGTTTACAGAGCCTGGCACATTACTAACTCTCTGCTTTGTAATTTACCATGCAAATTCAAGAGTAAAGCACCAACAATTCATATCTTGTAAAGGTCCTTGTTCTTCAGCCACTGCAGCTTCACAGGCTTGTTCTTTCCAATGGGTACTTAAGTTTCAGATTATTCCTCCTAAGCAAAATTCTTTATTGTTAAAAATACATAATTTCATTTTATCCTTCCTGTATTTCTACTCTTGTAGTCCATTTGTGTTATTTATTCTGATATAACTTTTGCATACTCTCATCCAGTACAGTATCTACAAATGTCATACACCTGACGGTCAGATGCCTTTTAGTTGGACACAATATATAACAACAGGATCTCCTACCAGACCCTCTGGTACTTCAATAAAACCCTGACTCAAAGGAACAATTGTTTAGCAGTGTCAGTGTGTGGTCTTTCACCATCATTAAAACCCACACGTAACTTTAGCTTGCTTTTCTAAAAGCTCTCCCACAAAACTTGACTACCAAGCAGTCCTGTATCGCTCCAGTAAGCCCAATAACCTCAGTGAGGCTCACTTAGACAAACAAGGATGTACAGCAACGTCAAGGAATCACTTTAAAACTCGATAAAAACCGTAATCTAAAGTATCTGGTAAACTGACTGGTTATAAACCTAGAACTGACTGCAGCTCATGGTTTCATTACTGTTTAAATAATTAGAAAATGTTCTGGTTTAGTTCCTAAGTATAGATATTTATCTTGTAGATAAGAACCATCTTCTCACAGCCTTTCTGGATGGCAGCACCACTTTTGGTTCCCTTTTGTTCTGCACAGTCCCCAATTCTTAAAAAAAAAAATCCCAAGAAACATCAGAAAAGTAGCAAATTAAAGATTAAACTTCTGCAGTACTGTAACAACTACATTGCTTATAGATTCTAAAAGTACCATTATCTATTTATCCTGTTGCTGTCTAGATTTGGTTGCCATTCACATTTTTATTGTTTTGTTGTGTTTCCCCCCTCTCCCACTTTAAGATTCACTTTTAAAAGTACTAATATTTCAAGCCCTTTAAAGATTAACGTAATTATTTTTCGATGTGTTAATGATTTTAGACTTTCAAGAATACTTCTGACTACATGAAGCTCTTCCTGCTGGGGTAAGCTATGGTGATTAGCAGCTTGCCTTTCAGTGTCCTCATGTTTTTCCAGAATTCTGAATTATCTTCTGTATTCTATTCCTGTGACCTTCTCCCTTTTCTGTCTCTGCTACACTGTATTTTTTTTAAACCTCAGATGTTTGAGAATTTCCTTTTGAAACCACATACAGTACAGTTTGTTTTCTGTTTGTGTAGTTAAAAAAGGGAACTGAAATACTGGATTTCTTTTTTAATCCTCAACTGGAATACCATGCTGAAGAGACTTAAAACATGTTGTCAATGGGAGGGGAAAACCTGTAAAATTACATTTTACTTTACATTAAAATTACATTACAAAATTTACAGAACATGGGATTACCTAGATCAGATGACCCAGCCAATGTGCCCTCACACTGATCCTTATTATTAATTCAAATTGTACTGTTTCACTGCACACAAGAAAGTATCTAACACATCTTTTTTTTTCCCCTAGGGACAAGCTATTTTTAATTTTCATTTCACAGAATGGCTTAGGTTGGAAGGGACCCTAGAGATCATCTAAATCAATGGCCCTGTCACAATGTCTCTCAGCTAGACCAGGTTGCTCAAGGCCTCATCCAACATGGCCTTAAAAACCTCCAGTGAAGGAGCACCTACAACCGCTCTGGGCAATCCATTCCAGAGTCCTGCCACCCTCAAACTGAAGAACTTCTTCCTAATATCCAGTCTAAAAGAAAAAAAAAAAACTACCGTGGAACTACTTAAAAACTATAGAAAGCAAAATGGAAGATTCATTTTCCAAAGAATAAAAATGCATTGTCAGAAAAGATGATTTTATATATCTAACTTGTCATTATAAACAAATATCATAAAAATGTACAAGAAAAAAAAAAACCAAAACATTTTCCTCTTCAGCCTCTGCCAGCTGAACTTTAGAAAATAACCATGAGCTAGCAAGGAGCATTAAGACTTACTGCAGCTCCACATCCTCCCAGACCAAAAGGACTGTGAAGAACACACAGCACATCACATGCCAGTTATCTGCCCCTGCACAGGAATAAGCTGGGGCACGTAATGCCTGAGAGCAAGTGCCTGCAAAATCTGTTCAAATCCCATCAACTAAATTTTCCAACATAGTAATTCTGCACACTTCCAAGAATGCAAATTGACAGATGCCCTTTAACAGCTGATCAACAGGCTCCATTTCAGGAGCAGAGCTCCCTCAAGGTCCTGCACAGTGAACAGTTACGAAGGTAAGCCAACAAGAGACTAGTGCTCTACTCTTCGATGATATCTACGGAGATGTCCCCTACAAAGGGTCATTGCTGAGCCCCATTTGCAGCAAGGTGCCCAACAGAGAAAGACAGTGGGGAAAGGAGGAGATGACTTTCCAAATTGCAGCTTCTCCTTCCTGGAAATTCTGTTTTTCCCTTACCTATATGGAAAAGGTCAATAAAAATAAAAAAAATCTAAGAATTTATTCTAGTATATGTATATTCCTGACATTTGAAATCACACATTTTGTGTAAGTTAATTAATAGTAATGGTGTTGCTTACTAGTCATGGGAAAATCCTGTCAGTAAAACCTTCATTATAATAATTTAAAACATTGACAAATGTACCTTCATTTGTTGTATATGAAAAGAAAAGGATCCACAGGGCATGCGGTGCAGCACTTGGGACTCTTGCCATTCCTGACACAGGCCAGGTTCAGTAGGACAAGCTGTGCTGAAATTCTGCCAACAGAAAACATTCTAACATCAGTGTGCCAGTTAGGGTTAGGTGAGTAATTCTTCCTACCACTCTGCTAGATGTTAGGATTCAGATCCCCCTAAATCTTGCTCATGGAACAATGACAACTGTAGAGGAATAAGGATAATACCAATGAGCTAGAAGAGTTTTCTGGGAAGTTTTAATTACAGAAGATACTAAACCAACATTGGCAGCAGACCTAGTCTTTTAGCTACTAGAAAAGCAAAGCTGCTAGTACGTGAGATACTAAAAGGGTAAGCTCTACACCAAAGTCATTGATCATCAGCGTGTCACCAAAGCCCTATGATTCCACTCAGATGACCGAAAGAGTTTAAGCATAAAGTTCCTGATCTACTGACTAAAATGTTCTTCCTTGTAGTACCTTACATAATAACGGTATCATCCTCTCGAAAGAGTCTGTAGCAAATATCTCTAAGCCTTGCTTCAACAGAGTGCAGATTCATTAAAACAGCAATTATAAAGATGTGGTAAAACACATACCTAATCATGACACAACCAGCAACAACTACAGAGAGCCACACAGCTTTTACATATTAGAATGCTTTAAGCATTATGCTGCTTCGTTAAGTAAACTGAAAAAACATGAAATAATTCAAACTTTCAAAAAACACACTTCAAGATTCTTTGTCTGATGCAACATGGCTACTTAGTAGAAGATCATATTCTTGATTAGATACGGACACCAGCTTTCATATCACTATAAATGCATGTGATGCATCTAAAATTTTGATAAATTTGTAGGTAAAGTCATGCTAACCAATAAGGAATAACCACGGCTTTGCATTCTGTATAACGAGGGACAACCCCTGTTCAGCAGCACATGGTCTGTCAGCACACAACCCTTCTGCTCCCTACTCTCACGCTCTTGGCATTTTCTAGTCCCCAAGTCTGGACGCAGAGCTCTTGCTGCTTGCCTGCTGCTGTTGCTCTGTAAAGCAAACATCTGCAAAGTTCCACGGTGACACTTTATTTTTGATTTCAAAGCTTCACGATTCTCTCTGTGCAATTGATTAAAGAGGGAACTTTTCAGAAGATCCCCTTCAGCAGCAGAGCAGTACTGGGCTTTCTGCAGAAGTTTCAAAGTGGAAGAGAAAACAAACATATTTGTTGATGGTGCTTCAATACCCTCTGCTCCAACTACAGCAGAACAACCTTTGATGTTTCTAACAGATTTGAGTTTCATCAGCACACAAGACAAAAAAAAAAAAAACCGCCAAGGGATCAGCAACTCTGTTGTGGTATAAACTTAAGTGATGAGCTTAGGAAAAATCTAATGACCTTTTGGAAGCACGCATGCGGGCACTGGGTATATTTAAGGGTGTGCAGCCTCAAATGCATGCCACCAAAGCTGCATCCCCTCACCTGCTTTCTAAAACCAGGAAGACTCTCAAGCACAGCTGCTGAATATTTTCTGTCAAATACTCAAATAGAATAAACACAAGTTAACCAACAGCTAGAATCTTCAGCTAAGGGACAGAAAAATAGCTTACAAATTTTTACTGTTTATTAATAAATACACCTACATAAATAAAACTGTTGGGAAATGTAGCAATAGGATCTTAATCTTTTCAATACATTTAGAAGTACTAACATTTCACTGATCATTCTTTATTTCAATATGTCAAATTCAGCTCCAAGGCAATTACTTGATAATCCAAGTTTCTGTGTTTGTCAGAAGTCACATTTAATGACATTATATTTCTTCCATTCTCACATGCATGATTTACCACTCTTAAAAACATGCTTCTAAAGATTAGACATGGAAAATTTAAATCTTAGAGGTTAGGAAAGAAGAACTTTGCTAGTGAAAACAAAAGATTAGACTGGAAACTCTCTTGTGACCTTCTGTGAGGCAGTTACTGCTCATCTGGTAATAAAGGATGCACTTGAAAGATTATTTCTCATAAATGCTCAAGAAAACTATTACTCAAGAGCTGAGCTTTCTGCATTTTGGGAACAGACAAAATGTGACTAAGCACAGTAATAAATTGTTTGAAAAGAACCCCAAGTGCCTTTGCTGCTGCTCAGAAAAGGTGCAAACTGCTCCAGCATAAAACAAATCCTTCTTTTCCTCCTTTTTCCTGGAATTCTCAAGAAGTGTTTATTTTCCAGACCATTGTTAAGTTAATACTGTCACATGACCAGAGTTCCAGGAAACTCTTAGAATTTTGGCAGAGAAACCTGCATCAGTAAGCATCTGAATCAGCAGATGGCAGAGAAAATATATCTCCCCGACAGGAGAGAAGATCTGCACATGCTGCTGAAAATGGAGTTAACCCATAGCTCTAATGGAACTGCAAACTTTTTTTAAAAAAAATAACAGTAGTGGGCTATAAATCCAATGCAAAGAAAATATTTTAAAATGGCAATAGCTTTCCTGTCTGTTAGGTCTTAAGTTTCTCTTTTTATCAGATAATGAAACATCAATCTTAAAAAACTATGTAGTGTATATATTTGGATTACTAGGTTTGCTGCAATTGTAGTATTCTCTGTATTTGAGGGCAGTAAGGTGTAAGAGACCTAAGTGACATCCCCAAAATGAAGCAGGAAATCTCTATCAGGGCTAGTAGTAGGTCCATGTGACCACCAGCACAAGCCATCCGCTTTGATCACTTATCGTTTCTGTCTATTGAAAAAAAAAAATCACTAAAAAACCCATGAAGCGATTGAAAAGATTTCATTTATTATCAAGAAAAACAAAAACAACTTCTGGTCTGGGCTGCTAACTAAATTAAGATCACACTTAATCTGCAGGCATAATCTGCAAAACACTTATGTCCCAATTGTAACTCGTGCCCCAAAAGAGTGGCAACAGTAGTTTCTGTGTAAGGTTGCCCATTTACCTTTGCAACAATCACTGAGATAAAGGACCACTCCCTATTTTAAAACTGTCTCTTTTTAAAATTGAAGTACATCTCGTCTTATTCTTTCTGGTTTAAAACATGGGCTGTAACTGCAGACTATAATGAGATAAGCAGTATACAGAAAAAGTTCATCAACTGATTTTGTATCAAAATTTAAAAAGAACAAAAGTTAGGGAGTAATTTCCATCTTTTTTTATTGCTACTTTTAATTGATTATTTTTTTTTAAGTGCCTACACAAAATGGCAGACCCACGGGAACACAACCCGTAATACCTGCTCTTTGACACGCAGCGTGACTGCCAGAGGCACCAGCACAAGGGACGTGTACGGTGAAAAGCGTAGGAGTCTTGGACAAAGAGGGTTTTCACAAGAATTTGGAAGCTGAGCAGAGTCTTGTTTACTATTTTACAGAGGAGGTTTAGATAATAGGGTAGACTGGAAAAAATCTTAGAAATTTATTTTATTCATTAAATTTATTTTAGAAAAATATTTATAAATTCCAGTGATTGAGGATGGCAATTTTGGCCAACGAAGGCCAAAAGACAAAATTTAATAGTTCCCACTCTGTGTAATTGAACCTGAAGGGTTAATCATTCCTACGGGCTTCTTTGCCATTCAATTAATACACCACTGTGCTAATGTTACCTCTTCTTGCAGAGACTACTGGAGTGGAGAGCACTGGGTCAGCAGAAACACAAATCTATGCCCAGATCCTTTGATTATCGATTTTTTGGTGGGAAGGCCTTAAAGGGCATAGTACACATATTATTGCTTACCTAACACAGTGTTTCCTGCCTCACTTTACAATCACTGAAGAAGAAACTTAACTTCATAGCAGTGAATTTTAAAGCAGCAATACATTATTTGTTACTCTTTTAAAACGAGTAGTTTTGGTAACATTTTGATGTCATACTCAATCCACCAATTCCTTCACATAGTTTAGGATCCTAACCATTAACGTCATTTTACACAACACCACACAGAAACGTACACGAAAACATCTGCATTTCTGGAGCACGACAGGGCACATCTGGATGAACCTCTCCTCAAAGACATGAAAAGAGCCTCTCAAAATGAGCAGATGGCTTCTCTCTAAAAAAACTTGAAACTGGGCAATTTTTATTTATGACTTAAACTGAGGTTTCTGCATTCCAACATTTTCACATTGAGATGATGTAAGTCAGCGAAGGGCTCAGCAACGCGTCATCTGAGCTTATAAGGAACACAGAACTTCCACACAACTTCACAAACTGCAAGCAGCACCATGTCAGACACTTTCTGATTTAGAACCGACAGAAACTACGGAAACTGCCGAATTCGGACGTGTTGAAGAAAAATACCAAAAACACAAATCGTCTAGACTAAAATGACTAAAAATCTGACTTCTGAACGCGCGGTTCTGAGAGTTTAGCGCAAGATGGCCTGAAGTCCCCTGGGGGTCGGTACAGCCCAGCAGCAAGTGCGGGGGGGCCGCGCCCCGGACAGCCCCGCGGAGCGGCGGCAGCGCCCC